TGCCTGTTGGTAGGCAACTAAGCTTGGTCCTGTCACCTACTTTGGCCTTTGGGAGAAAACATATTGGGGCCAATCCTGATAGGGTTGCCAACTCCCGATGGGAAATTCCTGGAGATTTGAGGGATGGAGCCTGAAGAGGGTGAGGTTTGAGGAGGGGTGGGACCTCAGACAGGTACAATGCCATAGACTCCACCCTCCAAACCACTCAGTCCCTCATGGGGAACCATTGTTGCCAATCTCCAGGTGAGGGCTGGAGACCACTCAAAATTACAATTGCTCTGCAGAAGGGAGGGCGGAAGTCAGCTGAAGTCAAAGGGGCAGATAATGGTAGGTTGATGGTTAGCTGCGAAGGAGATGGGGTTGCCAACTCCAGGCTGGCAAATTCCTGGGGATTTGAGGGGTGGAGCCTGGAGAGGGTGGGGTTTGCGGAGGGGTGGGACATCAGACAGGTAGAATGCCATAGACTCCACCCTCCAAACCAGCCATTTCGTCCTGGGTAACAATTGTTGCCAATTTCCAGGTGAGGGCTACAGATCACTCAAAATTACAACTGCTCTTCAGGGAGCAGAGATCAGTTCCTCTGGAGAAAACAGTGGACTCTGCCATTATACCCTGCTGAAGTCACCACAGCAAAATGACACTGTTTGCCCAAAGCCAGAGCACTCCCCCAGAGCCTCTTTCTAGATCTCGTTGTATTTATTTCCACAACGGGCTTTACTGCTAGTACTCCTATAATGGCATACGAGAGGCTTTGGAAAGATTAAAAATAAACAAAATATTTTATTTAACTTGGTGGGGAAAAGGTCAGGTAGTGTCAGGTAGGATGTATGAGGTGAACCAATAATAAAAACTGAGGTAACTTTGTAATCACACTAAATCTAAATAATATGCTGCCAACAAGTACGTTTTTGTTCTTTCCACAAGGTCTTTGAAACTTTAGAAGCAGAAAACCAGCCAGGGAATGGGGCCCATGGATGACCAAAGTTTGAAAGGATTACTAAAGGATGATAGGGAAATGGCACAGAAGCTGAATTTTTGCCTTTGTCTTCACTGTGGAAGATGAGAGGTGCTTGCCCACTCCAGAACCGCCAATTTCAAGAGGAGGTGATGAAAGACCTGAGTTGGATTGGGGTAATGAGAAATGAGGTCCTACGACTGATGGACAAATTAAAAACTGACAGATCACCAGGCCCAGACAGCATACATCCAAGAGTTCTGAAAGAACTAAAATATGAACTTATGGATCTCCTGACAAAAATATGCAATCTATCCCTAAAATGTGCCTCCATTCCTGAGGACTGGAAGGTAGCTAATGTAACCCCCCCTCCCCTTAAAAAAGGTTCCAGAGGAGATCCAGGAAATTACAGGCTGATCAGTATAACATTGAGACCTGGTAAGTTGGTGGAATCCATTATTAAAGATAGAATAGTAGGCACATTGATGAACAAAAGTTATTGAGGAAGAATCAGCACGTATTCTGCAAGGGAAGATCTTGTCTCATTAACCTGTTATAGTTCTTTGAGGGGGTGAACAAACCTGTGGGCAAGGGTGACCCATTAAATGTTATTTACCTTGATTTCCAGAAAGCTTTTGATAAAGTTCCTTATCAGAGACTCCTAAGTAAACTCAGCAGTCATGGGATAAAAGGACAAGTCCTCTTGTAGATTACAAACTAGTTAATGAACAGGAAACAGAGAGCAAGTATAAATGGGCAGTTTTCACAGTGGAAGGTGGTAAGCAGTGGGGTACTGCAAGGCTCAGTACTAGGTCTGGTGCTTTTTAACTTGTTCATTAATGATTTGGAGTTGGGAGTAAGCAGTGAAGTGGTTAACTTTGTGGATTATGCAAAGTTGTTCAAGGCGGTGAGAACCATGGAGGACTGTGAGGTGCTCCAGAGGTATCTGTCAAGGCTGGGTGAGTAGCAAATGAGGTTCAGTTGGGTAAGTGCAAAGTAATGCACATTGGAGCCAAAAATCCTAACTATAAATATACGCTGATGGGGTCCGAATTGGTAGTAACTGACTGGAAGAGAGATCTTGGAGTCATGGTAGATAACTCACTGAAGATGTTGATTCAGTGTGTGACTGCAATAAAAAAGGCAAATGCTATGATGAGGATTATTAGGGAGGGAACTGAAAACAAATCAGCCAGTAACATAATGCCCCTGTATAAATCTATGGTGCGGCTTCATATGAAATACTGTGTACAGTTCTGGTCACCCTACCTAAAAAATGGTATTATAGCATTGGGAAAAAAGGGCAAGCTTGCCCACTCCAGAACTGCCAATTTCAAGAGGAGGTGATGAAAGACCTGAGTTGGATTGGGGTGATGAGAAATGAGGTCCTACGACTGATGGACAAATTAAAAACTGACAGATCACCAGGCCCAGACAGCATACATCTAAGAGTTCTGAAAGAACTAAAATATGAACTTATGGATCTCCTGACAAAAATATGCAATCTATCCCTAAAATGTGCCTCCATTCCTGAGGACTGGAAGGTAGCTAATGTAACCCCCCCTCCCCTTAAAAAAGGTTCCAGAGGAGATCCAGGCAATTACAGGCTGATCAGTATAACATTGAGACCTGGTAAGTTGGTGGAATCCATTATTAAAGATAGAATAGTAGGCACATTGATGAACAAAAGTTATTGAGGAAGAATCAGCACGTATTCTGCAAGGGAAGATCTTGTCTCATTAACCTGTTATAGTTCTTTGAGGGGGTGAACAAACCTGTGGGCAAGGGTGACCCATTAAATGTTATTTACCTTGATTTCCAGAAAGCTTTTGATAAAGTTCCTTATCAGAGACTCCTAAGTAAACTCAGCAGTCATGGGATAAAAGGACAAGTCCTCTTGTAGATTACAAACTAGTTAATGAACAGGAAACAGAGAGCAAGTATAAATGGGCAGTTTTCACAGTGGAAGGTGGTAAGCAGTGGGGTACTGCAAGGCTCAGTACTAGGTCTGGTCCTTTTTAACTTGTTCATTAATGATTTGGAGTTGGGAGTAAGCAGTGAAGTGGTTAACTTTGTGGATTATGCAAAGTTGTTCAAGGCGGTGAGAACCATGGAGGACTGTGAGGTGCTCCAGAGGTATCTGTCAAGGCTGGGTGAGTAGCAAATGAGGTTCAGTTGGGTAAGTGCAAAGTAATGCACATTGGAGCCAAAAATCCTAACTATAAATATACGCTGATGGGGTCCGAATTGGTAGTAACTGACTGGAAGAGAGATCTTGGAGTCATGGTAGATAACTCACTGAAGATGTTGATTCAGTGTGTGACTGCAATAAAAAAGGCAAATGCTATGGGGTTTTTTTGGTTTTTTTTTCAGGGTACCCCCCACCCCGCTACAGGTGGGTACCCATTTATCTACTTGCAATTACGTTGCTTTCGAACTGCTGGGTGGGCAGGAGCTGGGACAAGGGTCGAGAGCTCACCTCGACCACGGTGGTACTCGAACAGCCATAGTGGCTGTTCGAATGATGTTACTGAGCAGGCATTAACTGCCTGCGCCACCGCTCCCATGGCAAATGCCTCTGTATAAATCTATGGTGCGGCTTCATATGAAATACTGTGTACAGTTCTGGTCACCCTACCTAAAAAATGGTATTATAGCATTGGGAAAAAAGGGCAACTAAAATGATTGAGGGATGGAACACCTTCCCTATGAAGGAAAGTTAAAGAGGTTAGGGCTGGGAGGTAAAATGATTAAGGGTTGACATGATAGAGGTTTACAAAATTATGCATGGGATAGAGAAGGTAGAGAAAGAAGCACTTTTCTCCCTTTCTCACAGTACAAGAATTCCATGGGCCCTCAATGAAATTGATGAGCAGTAGGCTTAGAACAGATAAAAGAAAGTACTTCTTCACCCATGGAGTAATTAACATGTGGAATTCGCTGTTGCAGGAAGTGGTGGGAGCTACAAGCATAAACAGCTTCAAGAGGGGATTGGATATACATATGGAGTGGAGGGCCATCAGTGGCTATTAGCCGCAAGAGATAGATGAAACACTGTCTGGGGCAGTGATGCTCTGTATTGTGGGGCAATAGTGGGAGGGCTTCTAGAGTTTTGGCCCCGCTGGTGGACCTCCTGATGGCACCTGAGTTTTGGCCACTGTGTGACACAGATTATGGGACTGGATGGCCACTGGCCTGATCCAACATGACTTCTCTTATTTTCTTAAGCTGCCCTTCCTTTCAGTTGTGTAGCTACGTGTTTGTAATAACAGGTTAAACATTTGATATCTTTTTCTTCTCTGCTTATGAATTAAAATCGTTGTACCTCCATCTTTAATTTGGATCCCCATTGTACTCTGTTTTGTTTTTGTATCTTTTGTGTTCACAACTATTTAATGCTGAGAGATAGATCAACAATTTTGCCAGGTAATAAAGGTGTGTTATGAAATGTGACGGTACCAGAATCTTTAAATGGTGCTGATTTTTCAGTGGTGTTTTTTCAAACTTAAGTGAAAAAATTAGGAATAATCAAATTGAAAGGATTTCTATTGGTCATCTCATTCATTACCACCTGGAAAAATTACTGTGGGGAGTTACATTTTCATGATCATGTCTGTGGTCAAGCAGCCTGATTCTAAGTATTTTGATTCTGAATTAAACTCTTCCATCTCCTCGGTATTAGCCATTGCATCCAGCCACTATGGGACAGTTATCTAGTGTTTAACATTTTTTCTATATTGCCTTTCTACCCAACCATTCCTGGAGAGTTCCAAAGTTTTGGTGTTATGACCGAGAAGGCTGTTTCTCGGGTTGCCACCCGTCTAGCATCCAAAGCAGGGCCTCTAAAGATGACTGGAGAGAATGGTTAGGCTCATATGGGAATAGGCAGTCCTTCAGGTGTGCTGGCCATAATCCATATAGGGCTTTAAAGGTAAATGCCAGCATCTTGAATTGAGCCTGGAAGCAAATTGGGAGGCAGTCTGGATGGAACTGTCTGCAGCATTCTGTAACAACCATAGCTTCTGGACAGTCTTCAAGGGCAGCTCCATGTAGAGAGCATCCCAGTAATCTAGATGTTAACAGGACACGCACTACAGTGGCAAGATCTTTCCTGCTCAGGAAGGGCTGAAGCTGATGAAAGGCATGCCTAGTCACTGCTGATGCATTTGCTTGTTTTCCTCTTCCCTTTCTGTACCCTTTTCCTTTTTTATTGTTTGTTTCATATTGTAGGTGTTATTTACAGTTGTGAACTACCTTGAATGCTGTGGTAGAAAGCCAGTAAATAAATATATCAAATACTTTCTCAGGCGTCAGTCCTGCTGAGTTCATTGGGAATTGCTCCCAGGTAAACAGGGATTGCAGCCTTAATCTGAGCTGCTTATCTGAGCTGCCTGTGAGTCGTTACACATGTTTATAGTGTTTTATATTTCCGTAACAGGAAATCCTGGATATATGTGGTAAACCAGGTCCTTGCTTTGTTTATCTTTCCGAGGCAGAACAAATTGTAGACCACCAAGCTGAAATCAACCAGGTAAAATAATCTTTTTGGTATTATGACTGAATTCCTTCTGGTGATGAAGACAAGTATAAACACCGCTTCCTCTAGGTTATAAATATGATGTGATATAGTGGTGAAATGGCTCTTTAGCACAGAAATAAACAGCTTTAAAAGAGAATGTAGAGTGATTTACCTAGATATTCCCTTTGCCCTTTTGTTGTTGTTGTGTCAAACACCTGTGGTGTTGGAAAATCTCCCATTTTGTCAAAGTCTTCTCAGATCATTTCACCTCATCTCAGGCACAAATGTTCTACAGAGGTATGTCTTTTGTGGTATTAGCAATTGCATTACCTAGAGATTTTCCTTGAAAAGCTTCTACCTAGTACAGAAATAGTATTGGACCATTCTAGATTGCAAAAACAAAGACTCTCTTTTTACCTCGAATCCAGTTTTGAATTATCTTAACGTTTAGGAATTTCTAGCTTTATAAAAATATCTGAAGAAATGCCTCACCTGTTCAATTGGAAATCCCAGCTGTTGACAAACAGAGGGGGACTAGAAGACTGCGGTTGAAGTTCTTACAAGAACTCTAATTTACTTCCAAAAGAGCTGATACCCTGTTAAGGGTAGATCATATTTCAGTGAAAAGATGCCTAATAAATTCATTCAAATATAGTGGCTCTTAACACTGAATTATCTGTGTTTTAAGTGCTTGAAGATAGTATGATATATATTAATCCAGTGACAAGTGCCTGGGCATATTGCATGGAAACAAAATGTGTCTTTTTCATTGCTTTTAGAACAATCTGGATATTGAAGTCCTGCAGACAGAAAAAGAAACAGCAGACATTGCGCATCCATTCTACTTGAGTAAGTGTGTCTTTGTTGAAGGCAATTGTTTGATCTTCCAGGAACTTTCAGTGCTGAGATTATTTTGAGTTCCACTTTTACTGAGCTTCCTGTTTTCTGGTAATTGCAAGTATGACTAATAGCATGCTATGATGGCCCCCTCGACTTCCCTCCCTCAGAGGCAAGATTCCCCCCCCATTTTTATTTGCCTTTCTGACTGAGCAGCCCTAGTGATCTGTTTTCTTCTTTCCTGAAGAACTCTAGCTGTCCCACCCTGTCACAGTATAATATTTTGGCTGTTTGCTCAGCCCAGAAATCTGAGGGAAGGAATGGGAGCTCCCTTTAACTTATACGACTTAAGTGGCACTCAACGTTTTTATATTCCAAATTAACAAAATATTTTATTCAACATAGAGGGGAAAGGTCAGGTGAAATTAGGGGTAAGTTTCTGAGATAAAATCAATACATGCACAGACTTTAGTTCTTATGTTTCAGGCTAGTGAGTGTTTACTTTTTTTGGTATTTTTGCATTTTGTGTGTGTGTGCCCATGCCTGGAAGTCATGGCGACCTCTGGCAACTCCTACTGGGGCACAGAGGACATTCAGAGAAGCGGCTTGATAGCCTGCCTCTGGCCTCCCAGCCCTGGTATTCTGTGGAGGTCTCCCATCTAAATACTTGCTGGGGTTGGCCCAGCTTAGCTTCCGAGATCTGACGAGATTGCGTTTGCCTGGGCTATCCAGGTCAGGGCAATGAGAGTTTCTTAAGCATTTCACAGTGACTTAAATCTTTATGTTGAGAGGCTTTTGTTCCAGTGTTTTCCCCAAACACTCCAGTATACTTTCTTCAAGTATTTTCTGACTCTTTTGGTTTCCAGAAGACTGGTACACTTTTTCCAGTACCCAGACCGCTTCTTTCTCTCTCTTTTAAATTTTACACTTTACTCATCTTGAGTTTTTAAGTGACTTTTAAGGTCTCTAAAGGCAGTTTCTAACCACACCAGACCAGGGATCTCTGCACTCTTCAGTGCTAACTCCCTGTTTGACTGTGTGGGGAAATTCTCCACTCACTAGAAGATCTATCCCCTTTCTTTGGCCTGAATTGGGGGTCTGTGTTTAACTACGCACTCATCCTTGCCAACTTTCCCCAATTTCCCTGTCTACGTTAAACTACTCTCAGTCGGGGGTGAATTCCGAAACTGTCAGTACTCGACTCTTTTCAGCTACAGCTGAAATCAGACTGCCTCTCTCCTCAGCATCTAATTCAGAAGTCTTTCTCTGTTTAGCTGATGCTATCCAATCAGATCTCTTGGAACAGCCTGTCACTCAAGGCTCTCGGGCTCTGTGAAGAATTAACCATTCACAGTCCCTTATCTGAAGATAGATCCAGGGGGTCATTCATGTTCGGGCTCCTGATGTCAGGGGGTGTGGCATATGCTAATGAGTTATGCTAATGAGTTCCCCTATCTCTTTTTCTACGAAATGACCCCTGAATATACTGGAATGGAAGGTAAGGTTCAAATTTATAGACAGGGGCTGAACAGCAAATTAACATGTAACATGATGGAAGATGTTTTAAGATATGTGAAGACAAACTAAATAACAAGCTAAGGTTATAAGGTCAACAGTTGTAAAGTAATGAATATGTCAAAAATAAGACTGAGACTGTCCATTCACTCCTCTCAGGCATGGAGGTCAGGTAACAGCATTTTTTCTTTCTTTTTTGAGATGGGTGTAGTGTTATGTCAGCCAAACATTCCAGTATTCCTTGTATTACATTCAGTATTCTAATATACTATTCTGAAAAAGAAATACACTAATATACAGAGGGTGTAGTCCTCTGTATGAGAATACATGTGAGGACTGAATGAATTAGCATATGTAATGGGATAAGAAATCAATATCCCTGTTGAAACCTGGGGAGGTTCCAAGTTCCAAGTGTTGTAATAACTTGTAATTAATTGTAATACCTTGATGAAGACCGAGCAATTCTGTTCCTACTTTCCAATCCTTTTGATGTCAATAATGTTGTCAGGGAACTATGGTCAGTACATAATTTATATGTGTGGCCCCACAAATAAGAACATAAGAACCCTGCTGGTTCAGACCACTGTTCCAGTTTCTCTGGTCAGCCAACAACAGGGCACAGAGGCTGAGCCCTTCCCCTGATGTTGCCTCCTGGCTCTGGGTTTCCTTCAGTAGCCATTGATAGACCTATCCTCCATGAATCTATCTAATCCCTTTTTAAAGCTATTTATTCTTGGGGCGCTCACTACATCCTCTGGCAGTGAATTCACATTTAAGTTCTTCATTTTTCTGTAGCCCAAACACAGGTACATGCTTCCTTTACAACAACAGAGTAGTTCCCATCAGCCTGAGTAGTGTTCTCAATGGAAATGCAACAATCTTTTCTGTATTACCCTCATGTAGGTAAGTCAACACAGCTTCCAATCCATATTCAGAGGCATAGCCTATGTTGGGTCAAAGAATGCCAGAGCTGGACTAGGGACAATCAAGGCTTTTACAGTATCAAAACTAGCCCATGCGGCAACTGTTCACATCAAACTTGAAGTTCCACATAATAACTCCCTAAGTGGTTCAGTAACTGAAACATAAATTTGGAATAAATTTTGCATACCATGAAGGGAGGCCCAAAAAAGAATTCAGAACTTTTCAGTTGGAAGTGGTTCCTATAAAACTATTTAAAAATTGTGATCTAAATCAGGTTTAAGTCAGGAGATGAGGCAATATGTCCCCAAAGAAGAAAGTTCTGGCTGCCTAAATTTATGTTTTTCCATGTTAAGCTTCAACTTAGTTGCACTGACACGCTTTAATACTGACTGTAAATTTATCTCATTTTCTTCAGGAATATTTCCAGGTACAGTAATATCAACTAAATAACACTGAACTCCCTTCTGATTTTTAAATATCAAATACGTCATTCCTTGAAAGGCTGTAGGGGCTGAAGCCAATCCATATAGGACACACTTAAAACAAAATGCATCATGCATAATAAATGCTGTAAAGTCTCTACTCTCTTCATGCAATACAACTTGATGGTATGCACTCTGCAGATCAAAAATGGAAAACTTTTTTTACCATGCCTATTCTGAAAATCTCTTCAATATGTTGCAATGGGGATCACTATCAACCACAATAGCCTTCACAAAATAGCTACACAAAGGCAAATACATTGTTTTTCCTCACCACAACTAAAAGTGAAACCCATTCTGATTATTCAGTCTCTTCAATAATATCCTTCTGTACCAGTTTCTTCATCAGGTACCTGCATGGTATTATGCAGTTGTTGATTACTTTGTTGGCTATGACAAGCCTTAGCAAAATGTCCAGTCTTAACAGTAATTACACTGAGCTATTTTTGCAGGGCATTTAGAGTACATAAGAACATAAGAGATGCCAGTTCTTCATCAGGTACCTGCATGGTATTATGCAGTTGTTGATTACTTTGTTGGCTATGACAAGCCTTAGCAAAATGTCCAGTCTTAACAGTAATTACACTGAGCTATTTTTGCAGGGCATTTAGAGTACATAAGAACATAAGAGATGCCAGTCTTGGATCAGGCCAAAGGCCCATCCAGTCCAACACTCTGTATCACACAGTGGCTAGAAATACCAGTGCCATCAGGAGGTCCACCAGTGGGGCCAGGACACCAGAAGCCATCCCACTGTTGACCCCCCCAAGCACCAAGATGACAGAGCATCACTTGCCCCAGAGCCCCTATCTATACCTTGTGCCATCAGGAGGTCCAGCAGTGGGGCCAGGACATTAGAAGCCCTCCCACTGTTGACCCCCCCCCCAAGCACCAAGAAGACAGAGCATCACTTGCCCCAGAGCCCCTAGCTATACCTTGTGGCTAATAGCCACTGATGGACCTCTGCTCCATATGCTTATCTAATTCCCTTTTGAAGCCGTCCATGCTTGTAGCACCCACCACTTCCTGTGGCAGTGAATTCCATGTGTTAATCACTCTTTGGGTGAAGAAGTACTTCCTTTTATCCGTTCTAACCCGACCGCTCTGCAGTTTCATGGAGTGCCCACGAGTTCTTGTATTGTGAGAAAGGGAGAAAAGTACCTCTTTCTTTACCTGCTCTTTCCCATGCATAATCTTATAAACCTCGATCATGTCACCCCTCAGTCGTCTTTTCTCCAAGCTAAAGAGCCCTAAGCGCTTTAACCTTTCCTCATAGGGAAAGTGTTCCAACCCTTTTATCATTCGAGTTGCCCTTTTCTGCACTTTTTCCAAAGCTATAATATCCTTTTTAAGGTGTGGTGCCCAGAACTGCACACAGTATTCCAAATGAGGTCTCACCATTGATTTATATAGGGGCATTATTATATTGGCTGATCTGTTTTCAATACCCTTCCTAATAATCCCCAGCATAGCATTGGCCTTCTTTATTGCAGTCACACACTGTCTCGACATTTTCAGTGAGTTATCCACTACAACTCCAAGATCTCTCTCTTGCTCAGTCTCTGCCAGTTCAGACCCCATCAATGTGTATTTATATTTAGGATTTTTGGCTCCAATGTGCATCACCTTGCACTTGGCCACATTGAACCCCATTTGCCATGTTGACGCCCACTCGCCCATCCTTGACAGATCCCCTTGGAGTGCCTCACAATCCTCACTGGTTTTCACCACCCTGAACAACTTTGTATCATCCGCAAATTTAGCCACTTCACTGCTTACTCCCATCTCCAAATCATTAATGAACAAGTTAAAAAGCAGTGGACCAAGTACTGATCCCTGCGGTACCCCACTGCTTACCACCCTCCACTGAGAAAATTGCCCACCTACACTCACTCTCTGTTTTCTATGAACTAGCCAGTTTTTGATCCATAAAAGGACTTGTCCTTCTATCCCATGATTTTTGAGCTTACTTAGGAGCCTTTGATGAGGAACTTTATCAAAAGCTTTCTGGAAGTCAAGGTAAATAATATCTATTGGATCCCCCTTGTCCACATGTTTGTTCACCCCCTCAAAGAACACTAACAGGTTAGTGAGACAAGATCTTCCCTTACAGAAACCGTGCTGAGTCTGCCTCAATAGGTTTTGTTCATCTATGTGCCTACTAATTCTTTCCTTAATAATGGTTTCCACCAATTTACCCGGTATCGACGTCAGACTGACTGGCCTGTAATTTCCCGGATCTCCTCTGGAACCCTTTTTAAAGATGGGAGTGACATTAGCTACCTTCCAATCCTCAGGAATGGAGGCAGATTTTAAGGAAAGATTACATATCTTTGTCAGGAGATCTACAAGTTCACATTTGAGTTCTTTCAGAACTCTCGGATGTATGCCATCTGGGCCTGGTGATTTTTCAGTTTTTAAGTTGTCTATCAGTTTTAGGACCTCCTCTCTCGTCACCTCAATCTGACTCAGGTCTTTCAACACCCCTCCTGAAATCAGTGGTTCTGGAGTGGGCAAGCACTTCTCATCTTCCACAGTGAAGACGGAGGCAAAAAATGCATTTAGCTTCTCAGCCATTTCCCTATCATCCTTCAATACTCCTTTTACCCCTTGGTCGTCCAAGGGCCCCACTGCCTCCCTGGCTGGTTTCCTGTTTCTAATGTATTTGAAGAAAGTTTTATTGTTGGTTTTTACGTTTTTTGCTATATGCTCCTCATATTCCCTTTTTGCCTGCCTGACCTCAGACTTGCATTTTATTTGCCATAGCCTGTGTTCCGTTTTATCAGCCTCACTGTGACTAGCTTTCCACTGCTTAAAGGAATTCTTTTTACTTTTTACAGCCTCCATTACTCTGTTTGTTAACCATGCAGGCTTTTTCCTATACCTGTTTGTGCCTTTCCTAACCTGCGGAATATATATTTTTTGAGCTTCTAGGATCGTAGTTTTAAATAGATCCCAAGCTTCCCCAATTGTTTTGACCCTTTCTACTTTTCCTTTCAGTTTCCTCCCCACGTGTCCCCTCATATCAGAGAAATTACCCCTTTTAAAGTTAAAAATGGTTGTGTGAGTCTTTTTGGCCAATTCTCTATTTGTACAAATGATGAACTCAACAACATTATGATCACTGTTTCCAAGCGGTGCAATCACTTTTACATCTCTCACCAGGTCTTGAGTGTTACTTAGGACCAAATCAAGGATCGCCTCTCCCCTGGTAGGTTCCGTGACCATCTGCTCCATAGCACAGTCATTTAGAGTGTCTAGAAACTCAATCTCTTTTTCCCGGCTAGAACACATATTGACCCAATCAATGTGTGGGTAGTTAAAATCACCTATTATTACACAGTGTTTTTGTCTAGTTGCTATCTTTAAGGCATTCATCATTTTATAATCCTCCTCTATCTTTTGATCTGGTGGGCGATAACAAACTCCCAGTGTTAAGTTTCCTTTTGGCCCCCCTATTTCAACCCATAGAACTTCCAGAAGCGAATCCAATTCACTTAGCCTCTCAATCTTTCTAGACTTTATACCCTCTCTGACATACAGAGCTACCCCACCTCCAACCCTTCCCCCCCTATCCTTCCGATATAATATATAACCGGGAATCACTGTGTCCCACTGATTTTCCTCATCCCACCAAGTTTCAGAAATACCCACAATGTCTATTTTTCCCTCCGACACCAAGCACTCCAACTCCCCGATTTTACCTCGGACACTTCTAGCATTTGTATAGAAACAGCTGTAATTTCCCTTACAAGTTAAGCCTGCATCCTTCCTCTTGCTATCTCGAGTCGTTGTCCGGCAGTCCATGTCACCAGCCATGGCCTCTGTGGACAATTTCAATCCACCTCCCTGTAGAAAAGCAACAGGTACCCCCTCATCTCTCTGAGATGAGCCAACCCGAACCAGAGACTTTTCATCTCCTGTCGGCTTTCCCCCAATATTCAGTTTAAAAGCTGCTCTGCCACCTTTTTGATTTTAAGCGCCAGCAGCCTGGTTCCTTCTCGGGACAAGTGGAGACCGTCTCGCCTGTACAGCTCCCTCTTGTTCCAAAAAGTATCCCAGTGCCTAACAAACCTGAACCCTTCCCCCCTACACCATCGTCTCATCCACGCATTGAGACTCCTGATCTGTGCCTGTCTCTCCGGCCCTGCGCGTGGAACAGGTAGCACTTCTGAGAAGGCTACCTTGGAGGTCCTGGACCTAAGTTTCCTGCCCAGGAGCCTAAATTTCTCCTCCAGGACCTCACGACTGCATTTCCCCACATCGTTGGTGCCGACATGCACCACGACCACTGGCTCCTCCCCAGCACTATCTACCAGCCTATCTAAAACACGCGTAATGTCCGCTACCTTTGCACCAGGCAGGCAAGTCACCATACGGTCAGTACGCGGGTTCGCCACCCAGCTGTCTACCTGCCTAAGGATCGAATCACCCACTACCAAGAGCCCCCCTCCCACCCTGCTCAGGGATGGTTCCTTGGTGCAAAAGGAGAGCCGCTCACCAGCTGGGGAAGAGGTCCCTTCTGAGGGCACATTCCCCTTATCCTCAGCATGGTGCCCTGTTTCCCCTAGACCCTCATGCTCCCTGACAGCAGCGGGGCTGCCAGATCCAGAGTGGGACGTAGCTAACAAGTCCCCGAGAGTCTTTTCTGTGCGCCTAACTGACTGCCTCTGCTTCTCCAGGTCAGCGACCTTGGCCTCAAGGGAGCACACACGTTCCTTGAGAACCAGGAGCTCCTTGCACCGAGCACACACCCAAGACTTCTGTCCAGTGGGCAGATAGTCATACATGTGACACTCCGTGCAAAACACTGGATAGCCCCCAACCCCCTGCTGGCATTCTGGCTTCATAATTCTATTAAAATAAGTAGCTTGCAAGATGCTGTGTAGAACCACAAGGAAAACATGTTTTTTACTGACATTCTACCCCACTGATTCAATGGCTTTTCAGTAGCTTTCTTATCAGAATCTTGAGTCTGTATTGAAGCTTTCGGCAACAAATCCACACTTTGCACTATATCTCCAGAACCTGAAATCATTATCTGCCACAATTTGTGTTGTGATAGCTATAGCCCTTTCCAAAGAAAGTTCAGTTTCAGTTTATTGTTACAGTCCTTAGACCAGTCATCAAAGAAAGTTCTGATTCTGAAAGCAGCCATTATCTTACAAGAGGCACATTTAATTTTTCAGCCAGCTGATCTCTAATCGTTTTGTCAGCCAACAATCCAAACCCAGAGGGTCCAATTAAGTCTCTTAAAACAATAATATATTTTAGTGTTAGTTCCCCTTAGTTTCTGCTCATGCTGATGAGATTTGTAACATTAACTATCACATTCACTTTGGGCACAAAAAAATTCTTCAGTGTAGCAAGAGTAATCTCATATTTATTATCAACAAGAGGAAATGTAGAAAAAATACGTTATTCTCCTACTCCCAAGGAGTGACTAAGCACTGCCGGTTTTCGTTCTTCAGATACCTCTGTGTCATTAATTGTAAGCAAGTAAATATCAAACATCTGGATCCAAGAAGTAAAAACAATTGGAGGCTCACTTTGCAAAAACGTGCAGGTGGGTTCAAAGGCAAAAAAGTCATCCTCATTGCCAATTGGATATATTTTATGCAATAAAGCCTCCATTTCAAGTTTTAAGGATCCATTTATTAAAGAAATTCCAACAAGGTAAAATAGCACCTCCCTAAATCTGCATGCTCTATTCATTTCCTGTACCCTAGTTTATGTACCTCCTTCCCCAACAATGTGTTCTCTTAAAGCAGCATACCTAAACACCACAGACCCCTTTGTAAGTTTCCATGGAACCCCAGTATCTAATAGGAAACACTAGTGTTATTTTATCTGTTGCTGCTGTTTTCTTTAGAATCTCCTTGCACAAGTGTCTTGACATAATTTTCAGAAATCTAGTCTTTCAGATGCTGAGTGATTTATATATTTTTTGTTCATCTGTATTTTTGTAACACAATTTATTTCAGTATTTTATAAATGTGTGCTTTTGAAAAACAGGATAATGGCTTAGATCTACTGGACTTTTCCCACAGGTGGATGGATTTCCTTCCATAGGCTATAACTTTCTTTTCTGTTCCTGAGGGCATTTTGGTCTGCTGTACATAGGAGTAGAAAAGTCATTCTCTGCAGGTGAAAATTCTACCTGTTGAAAAACTCCAGAAGATCTAAGCCAGTATATTTTACAAAGCATTCACAATGAAGTAGAAGCCGATTTAATTTTGACAGACTTCTTTTAATCTTGTATAGCTCAGAAATGTCAAATTCTTCAAGGCATGAATAGACACCTAGAAGCAGTGTTGAAAGAAAAAAGAGCTCTTAGGCAGAGGCTATTGAAATCATCGTGCCAGGACAGTCTGCCCATTGAAGCTGTCTTTCACAGGTAAGACATGAACAACTAGCCCAACCTATATTTAACTTGTTCTTCTACATATAAAATACAATAATGACAAAATCCAATTACAAATAATATTGCCAGTTCATTTTAAAAAAATTATATTCCATTTTTCTCCCTAATTGGAATCTACAGTGGCTTATCACATTGTTCGTCCTCCTTCTACCCAGGTAGAGTCTGCTGAGAGCTTGTGATAGGCCCAAGGTCATCTGCAAGTTTCAATGGAAGAGCAGAGATTAGAACCTGATTGTCTCAGGTCTTAGTCCAGAACTCTAACCATTGTGCCATGTTGGCTGTCTTAATTCATCAGGCTTAGACTCCAAATGCAATTACAGTATTACTGTAAACAGCTGAAATGGGAAGCCCACAGCCAGCCAGTTTCAGCCATGGAATGCGTTCTTTACATGATTAATTTTATATAGCTTTCGGAAAGTGAGGAACACTGCCAAACTCCCTCTTGGTTAGTTACACTACACCTTCAGGGTAGCAACAAGAAAGTCCTCAAGCTATTTATGCTTGCAGTTTAGTCAGTAGATGATCTGTGCAGGAGTATGCGTCTTAAGATATCTCCATGTTAGTTTTAGTAGCAGTGTTAATTACATTGCACGCATTCAAAAGACATGTAATTGTAAAACTTTAGAAGTATAGAACACTTATGACTATGGAACACGTATGGATATAATTACATCTTTTATCAATTACCCTTAAAGCTGTTTGGTGTATTTATGCTTCTGGCATACATTTGGTTAATCACTTATTTATTACAGTCATAGCTCAGCAGTATAAAACATATGTTAACATACAATTGCTAAATTTGTGCTTGATAGGCATTGTTCTAACTTGGGGGGGATAGTTTTTCTTTGCCTGAATTTACAAGCTCTTATAAGTATAGTAATATTAATAGCCTACCAGATGTGATTTTTTAACATTAAAATTTAAATTCCATCATTTAAGTTTTACACACATCTGTATTTGTTGTGCTCCAGGTATGCTGTAGAGTTGTTAGCACTGGCAGTGGCTTTCATTGAAAAACTGGAAGCTTATCTAAGAACAGTAAGGAGCATTCCTCAGATACCTCTGACCATAAAGAACATGGTGAGTAGCCAATCAGACAATTTTTTAGTGGTAATTTTCCTCTCAACAATCTGCAGCTGGTTTAAAGTTATGACTAAATATGAATTTTAAGACGGAAGTCTCAAGTTTAAATTTTCTTGGTCTCAGAACAGTCACAACACAGGTCTTTGTTGTGAGACAATGTGTACAAAGACAATTAAGGACTACTTAGCTTCTCCTGTCATAAGAGAGTGTGCTCATCCATCTCACACTAAAACAGTGTGAAGGGCTGTCGCTCTGAAGTCTGACAAATATTGATGCAGTTACATTTTCTTCACTTTGTTGTTTACTAGAACAGTTTTCTTTTTGTCACTTAAAAGAGTTTAGTGGTTAGTGTATTAGACTAGGATCTGGAAAGCCACAATCTACTGTGAAAATTGCTGAATGACCTTGGGCCAGTGTTTCTCTTGCTCTCAGGTTTATCTACCTCTCAGGGTTGGTTGTTTATTTTATTTAATTGGCCTTATATCCCGCCCTACCTCACAAGTGGGTCACAGCATATAAAACATAGTAATTATTAAAACATATAATCTAAAACCAGATTTAAAACAGTACAAAGCAAGATGGCAGCTGAACCAATAACTTCAGGTAGTCCATAATGCCTCCTGCAAGATGTTAGTCTTGGCACTGGAGCTGGGGCTGTGGACAGGAGAGGGTGAGATGGTTGGATGTCTGTCACCTTAACTGAAGGCCTGGCAGAACAGCTCCATTTTACAGGACCTTTGGAAGTGTAACAAGTCCTGCAGGGCCCTGATCTCAACTGGGAATGTGTTCCACCAGGCTGAGACCAGAGCAGAGAAAGCCCTGGCCCTGGTTGAGGCTCAGCAGACTGTTAAACGTTAAATTGCAGTGTTAAAATGGAGAAGTGAGGAATATGTACACCAGCTTGAGCTCCTTGGAAGAACAGCAGGAGATAAACGTGCTAGTTAAAATCTTTCTCTGTTTGGAATCTGATTGTCTTTACATTATGTTCCAGGACAGTGCACTAGCAAAGATGGATTTGTTGGTGACAGAGACTGAAGAACTGGCAGAACAAATACTGGAGTGGAGAGAAAAACAAAAGGGAATCTTCTGTGATAACTCTCAGTTGACTGTAGAATCAGATTCCTGTTTCAAAAGTGTAACTTCCCACTAACGTAGTCTTTATTTCTCCTCTCTCCTCCCCTTTCCCCAAAACATAATGCATTAGAACACAGTGGCTGTTTAACAGTTTCATATAATTAACACAATATAGGCATATTTTGTTCTTGTTCTCAAATACCCAGCTATTTGTTTTGTCTTCTGACACAAGTTTTTGTGTGTGCAGCTAATGCTACATAGAAATTGTCTGCTGAGATGTTAAATGACTTAATCAGGACAATAGCCATTAGAATTCCTGGAGGAGTATTTTAATGTAGCAATCCTGTGACATTGTTTAGCATCAACGTTTGATGTACCTATGTCCAATATTTATAGTAAGTGAGTAAACACTTTAATACTACCTGTTTTCCAAGTGAGGCTATTTTTTTGTATGTTACAATGAAATTCAATAAAGGTATCAGGCTATAAAATGAGAGGGTTTTTTATTGTAAAAAGCTTTATTTATGCCCAAGCACCATGAACAATACGAAAACCAAAAAGAACTGTGATGATGTGACGCTTAATAATTTTCTTTAAAGAATCAAAATTATACAATAAGTGTACAATAATACAGGGCTATTTTTGGGCAGGAACGCATAGGAACGGAGTTCCGACTGGCTTCCAAGTTGGCCATGCCTAGCAGGAACTCATTAGCATAATAGGCCACACCCAACAGCAGAAACTCATTAGGATTGGCTATATTAGGGGTGTGTGGCCTAACATGCAAAGGAGTTCCTGCTACAAAAAAGCCCTGGGTTTTGACAACAAACAAGGTAAGCAGAACAAGAAGCAAAAGGTGGGTGTGGCTGGATGAGCACACTTCTGGTAACATGGGGGTGTGGCCTAATATGCCAATGAGTTGTGCTATCATGGGTGTGGCCTAATATGCTAATAGGTTTCTGCTGTTGAGTGTGGCCTATTATGCTAATGAGTTCCTGCTGGGCTTTATCTACAAAAAGAGCCCTGCAATAATATACAGAATAATAGAAAATTGACGGTGGTCTCCGGAATGCCTTGCCGTTTCGATGGTTGATCTTCCAAACAAAGATGTGAGACAAATACTATCTCTCAATAATTCATTTCCTCTGGTGACGTTTCAAAGATATCAGTGATGATTTTCAACATTCATAATAGCTATAGTATCTAGTAGAGCCTTCCCGTGGGCTAATGGTATAATTTTCTATTATTCTGTATATTATTGTACACTTATTGTATAATTTTGATTCTTTAAAGTAAATTATTAAGCGTCACGTCATCACAGTTCTTTTTGGTTTTCGTATTGTCCTATGACTGTGCCAATCAATTTGATATTACAAGCACCATGAACTGCAGACCTGTCCCTTTCTTATAGTAAATTGATTTTTTAAACAAGTTTCTGTGATTGTCCTTCAGTGCTCTTTAAATGGGTTTTTGGCTGTATATAGTAAATCTAGGAAAGAATAAATGGAAGAGATCATCTGCTTTGTAATCTGTTTTCCCTTTGAATCATCACAGACTTGGCACACACAAAGGAGCTTACTGCATAAATTGCTTGCTGCAAATACTAATCAGGCAGCCACTGCTAATATCAGCTGCTGGATCAATGCATTCAAAGCAAAAATGACACTTACTCCAGTCTTCAAATGATAGAAGGCTCTGCACAGAATTTACCTCGATCAAGGAAAAAGTCATATATAAAAGACAACCTTCTACTATGTTCTTTGAGTTTCTGAAAATAAAGTAACTAAAACATATTGGATATGGTTCCAAGATACAAGTTGTTGCTTGCATGTACCTGACCACTACTTCTAAAGCAGTTTTATCAAGTGGTAGAAAAGGGAATTGTTTTAAGAAAGCCAGACACTCATATAAGCCATCTCTGTATTAGCTGTTGTAGATTTTCCAGGTTGTATGGCAGTGGTCTTGGCATTGTAGGACCTGGCGTTTCGCCAGTTGCTGTGACTGGCATCCTCAGAGGTATAACACAGAAAGACGGAGTACTGGGTCTTCCGGTGGCAGGGTACCAACATGGCCGCCTAAACCCGCAGCTCCCGCCTTCCTTCTAATCCCCTCATCAAAAACAGCGATCTATAATAAAAGGAAAACATCCTACTATATGGAGGCTGAATCGGATCAACTTGGGCAACAAGGCAAGCCAAAATTTAAAAAGATCCAAACGACAATAGCCTTTCAACCCTCGGCAGCAAAACCGGGCCTAAACTTCACTAACAAAAAAAATATGGCGACCGGAAGAGAAGAACCCATCAATCCAGAAGCTCTGGTAACGCAATCTATGTTAACGAAAGAGCTATCTAACTTAGAAAAATCCATACTGGAAAATATGTCCTCGTTTTTCAAGCCCTTCTATGCACAAATGGAAGGAATGCAAAAAGAAATAACAGATACGAAAGCGATGGCACATGAAGCTTTTAATGCCAGTGTAAATGCTCAAAATGACATCCAACAACTTCAAATACTGGAAGACGTCCTGGCTGAAAAAGCAATCAAAACTGACTTATCGCTCCGACAAAACAACCTAAAATTACGAGGACTGAACGAAAAAATCGGAAAAAATAAGGATCTAGTAGATATAATCTCCGAATGGCTAATTACTGAAGTACTGCCAACGGGAAATCTCTCTCCGGTGATCACCAAAGCCTTTAGAGCAGGACCGATAGCAATACTAAAGACGCGTCCATCCAGAGACATTATAGTGACTTTTCTTGATCTACGCTATCGTAAAGCTGTCCTACTTAAAGCAAGACAACTGGGACATCTCTCATACAACAATGGGAAAATTGAAATTTAGCCCGACTTACCCAAAGAAGCTCTCCTCAAGCGGCGAGAATTAAAACCATTAATGGGACGTCTGGCAGAAGAAAACGTACGCTACACTTGGGCAACGCCACTAATCCTGCAGTTCACATACCAAGGGAAAATCCACCGCATTTCTACTAAAGAAGAAGGCTTCAAAGTGCTACGATCCCTGGATCTCATCACTCCGATGGAACATTCGGGGCAATCACTAAAAAGAAAAGAAAGATCGGCATCTCCTACTCCATCGGGATCACCAGAACGCAGCATAGAAGATGACTGAAAACACGAAAAAGCGCTAAGTATTGTTCTCCGAGGTTAACGAGCGTCGCCATTTTGTTAACGGCGTGTTTCAAGCCCTCAGGCGCCATCTTTTGCGACCTGTTAATTACTTGTGAATTCTGAAGTGTCACACAAATGTTTTAAAGTTTAAAGTTGCTCGGACATAAGTTTCACCGTAGCGATTTAAATGTTATCGGCACAGCCATTATTAATAAACAGCCTTTTGTTAAATGAATGTATTGAAAATGGTTAACACTTAAAACTACTAGATATAAAGGGGGGGAAGAAGCGGGATCAGCCTAAAAAAACTCCGCTAATTTAAAGCTCTGACTTACATCACAGGAAAAGAAATACAAGTTAAAAATTCAAATCTTCTGCAGAAGACGAAGCTTGCAGAATATCTTTTTAGATAAATTCTTTTTAACAATTTTTAGATAAAACTATTATACAAAGGATAAGAAGAAGGAAAACACAAAAAACACAAAAGCAATTAATTATACCTATTGGTGAGATCAGTGCAATTAATTTCTACTGTTCAATTAATTTTTTACATTATAATCAACTGTTTTTATAATTACGTAATTGTTTTTAAGGTGTTAAAAAGCAATTAATTTAAACAGTAAGTGAAAACATCCTACAAAGAAGTTTTCCTAAATTAATCTTTGGTATAATCAACTCAACATCCAGTGATTGTCACTCCTAAATCCTACAACCTTAACGATAGATTACCTATTGGTACAGTGTCATACCCAATGATTAACAGATCGAACTTTTAGTGTACGTCCTAATACTGTTGTAATCTCCTTGTCTTCTGATCAGCACATTATAAGAAAGTACCTTTACATACAATGAGGTTCCTGAAGGTTTAACCAGACCAACTTCTAGATTTGACTATTAACCTATACTTCGCAATGATCTTGGTAATTTTATTCCCAAACAGCTAAAAGAAGGAAACAAAGCAGCATGTCATCTACGCTTAAAATTATCTCGTACAATGTGAAAGGCCTGAACAACGTCATCAAACGTAAGCGAATCCAGAGTCAAATACACAAACTTAATCCGGACATTATATTTTTACAGGAGACCCACATCAGAGATGGCAAAACCCCACTGTTCAAAACAAAAAAATATCAATTTCAATTCTTGGCGGGAGGGTCTACAAAATCTCGGGGTACTGCAATACTGGTAGCAAATAGAGTACAATTCGTACATCAACAATCACTAGCTGATCCTAACGGACGCTTTATTTTTATTCAAGGCACCATTAATACAGTACCTGTAACTCTAGCAGCAATTTACGCTCCAAACTCAGGGCAATTAGAATTTCTAGAACAAGCCCTGCAAACCTTAGAAAATTTTAAAGCTGGAGAATTGATTATTGGGGGAGATCTCAATATTGTTATGGATCACAAAATAGACAGATCATCGTTTCATCACGAAAGGTCGTCTCATACAACTTCAAATAAAAAAATTGCCAAACTACTGGTTTCACACAATTTAATTGACATTTGGAGGCAACTACATCCAACAGAAAGGGATTATACGTTTTATTCTATCAGACATGATTCATATTCCCGCATTGACTTCATACTTATTAGCTCAACACTAGTAAATTGAGTTCACTCAGCAGACATAGGATCCTAACTATGGTCCGACCATTGCTGGGTGGACTGTACACTTAACATAAACTGCGAACAAAACACAAGACCAACTTGGACATTAAATAGCTCTTTATTACTGAATGAAATAGTAATATCAGAGACAGAACAACACATCAAATTTTTTTTTGCAGAAAACTCGAATGAGGAGACCTCCCCAAATATGATTTGGGATGCGATGAAGCCAGTCATCAGAGGCCATCTGATCTCTGCCTCTTCGCACCTAAAAAAACAAAAACAAAAGGCCAGATTAGAATTACAGGAATGTATCGAACTGTTGGAAAACAAACACAAACAACAAGGAGACAAAATCACCTATACCTCTCTATTAAAAGAGCGTAAAAAATTGGAAATCTTAGAAATGAACCAGATCCAAAAAACATTCTTTACTCAAAGCAAAGAGGATGGGCATTTACGCCTAAATCACTACAATTCTTAAGCAAACGCCTAAAACAACAACAGCAAACAAGAAACATTACTGAAATCAAAGATACCAAAGGCACTAGGTTTCATGACTCCAGGGTAATTTTCAATATTTTTAGGAATTACTATAAACAAGTATACAGTACAAATATAGAAAATCCTACCAATATTGAAATTTTTTTTAGAGAAAATCCAATCTCCCACACGCTGACAGGTGCCCATCAGGATAAGATGGAAGCTCCTATCACTCCGCTAGAAGTTAGGCAAGCAATCAAAGACTTAAAAACTGCAAAAGCCCCTGGTCCAGATGGATATACATTGGAATTTTACAAACAATTTGCGCCATTGCTAGCCACACCATTAGCCAATACTTGCAACCACATCTTGAGTACAGGCCTTCTTCCTCCATCGTGGA